CTCTGTGTACTCATGGTTCTTTTACTTGTTTACTGTCTAGTGGGTTGCTCTTTGCACCAGGTTTTGTTTTTATCTATGTGTGAAATTTTTTCAGTGTTCAAGTTTTGCCTTTTTAGCCAAGCTAATTTAAACTGACTTTTTAACTGAGTAAGAAAAATGTTTGCTAACACTTTATTATCTATATGTCTTAAAATAAGATCCAGTCATAAGAAGCTCACAAGAGCCTTAGAAATGTTATTCTTCAAAACCAACAAGCCACCAGTGGGCATCCTTGGCACACATGTTGGCAGCTATTGATGCTGTGGAGTGAGAGCACAACCTGAGACCGTACTCCACAATACACAATTCTGGCTGGGGCTTCCTCAAAGCTGACTAGGTCAGCAGTGCCAAAGACCTTTCCAGATTCTAGAAGACAGAAGCAGCTGCTACAGTCTCTTTGTTGCTATTCTTTGAAGGACTGTCATCATTAAAAGATTGTAGGGTGTCTATGCACAAAAGCATGGGAACTCCCATATTTAGGCACTAGAGTGGGATTTTTGCACCAAGGACAACAGAGCCTTGGAGTCATGCTGTCATCAAGGGCTCATTTTTCAGGGAAAAAAGGTCAATCATATAGCTGTATATATTGGAATTATTGGAAAATGCACTTGACATCCTTGTACTCCTAGAGATATGAGAGAAGCAGTTCCTTTTAAAGGTTTTTGGGAATTCAGCAATTCAGCTCCAGTAATAAGCTTAATTTTGCTGCATGGCTTTTGAGTGACTCCTACTGGAAGCTGGAAGTACAAGATCCAGGCACGATTTCATAGAGTCATAGACTCATAGAATGGTTTGGGTTAGAATCGACCTTATAGATCATCTAGTTCCAACCTCCATGCCATGAGCAGGGAATCCACTCACTAGAATAGATTGCTCCAAGCCCCATTCAACCTCACCTTAAGCATTTCCAGGGATGGGGCATCCACAGCTTCTCTGGGCTACCTGTTCCAATGCCTCACTACCCTCTGAGTAAAGAATTTCTTTCTAATATCAATCCGAGTCTTTCCTCTTTTAGTTTCAAACCATTCATTCCCCTTGATCCTATCACTATCTGCCCATGTAAAAATCTCCTTTAAGTACTGTCAAGCCACAGTGAGGTCTCCCAGAGCCTTCCTTTCTCCAGGCTGAAAAACTCAAACTCTCTCAGCCTGTCTTCAGACGAGAGGTGCTGCAGCCCTCTGAGCATCTTGGTGGCCCTCCTCTGGACCTGCTCTAATAGGTCCACATCTGTCTTTTGCTGAGGACTCCAGATCTGGACACGGTACTCCATGTTGGGATTTAAACAAGGAATGGTCAGTTGAGCCTTATTATGACGCTCTGTCCCTTTATTTTATTGTACTTGACAATTTGAGGTTTAGTATCACACATTCTTAAAATAATTTTTGCTATCTTCAGACTCCTCTTGCTCTTAGTGCTTAGGTTTCAGCTGGACCTTCTTCTTTCCTGTTGATTATTCAAGGATGCAGGAGCCATGTCATAAAGCTGTTGAACTTGTGAATGGCTTTTATGTGCCATTTTATTTCACCTGCATGATAGTTTAATGTCTGTTCTGTATCAGTGGTGTTTGTACTGATGAGACTGTGTACTATCCCACATAGCTGTAGTCATCTCATGCCTCAATCTTCTGTCTCTTCCAGTCTCCTTGGCAACATGTGTCTGAGTGCTCTAGTTCATGGTTTGTTTTTAAGCCTTTGAGAGCTGTAAGTGACCTGAATGTTTTTATGGACCAGCTGTTACAGAAGCCCTAAGTCAGTCTCCCATTGTCTACCCCAAATCTTTGCAAGTACCAGTGCAGATGGGGAGATATAAATCTGAATTGGCATGCAGGTGACAAGGTGACAGAGGTAAAAAGGAGTCCTGCATGATCAAAAAGAAGAACCATTCCATTCAGATGTCTTAATGTAGTAAGAAATAATAACTGGGCTACAGGAAGGGGTGGGGAGAGTTTGGATGTCTGTAAGTAGTTTTGCTGCCTAGTTGTCAGTCTGTGACTGTACATACTATTCAGACAACAAATCTTAAAATCAGGCATGTAATTTCTTAAAGGTAATGAAATTATTCATCATCTTTCTGTAAAATGTATTAATGAATTATTAAATGATTGATTGTTCCAGTGGCAACTCTAATGGGTTACTAGCAATAACATATGCAACCCTTAAGCAGGATAGGCCATTTCCCTGGGGAATCACATGAGTAAGTAAATACTAAGAGACAGACCAAGATACCTCACTTTATCCGGAACATGGAAATTTTCCATGATTCAGCCTAGATTACCCTGTAGGGGAGTGAGGAAAATCCACATTATATGGCTTCTACAGTTGACATGGAGTCTCAGGCCAGTCTGCATCACCACCCCCAGGAGTCCTATCACATGGAGGGCTTTAGAAGTCCTTTGGGGTTCCAGGGACAGGGGATCTTTCCCATAGAAGGAGGGATGATTTAATCCAAGAGGATCAGACTTCAGTAACTGGGTTATTTAGCAGCATTTTTCCTAAGCGATTCAAATATTTTGACATTTTTAGTCATTGAATAAGTGATCCAATTACCAAGAAGCAGTACTGAATGAAACAATTGATATTAAATGCAAATTTCTAACTGTTCATCAGCAGTAAAAATTCTTTCCACGTTTCTTAGTACCTTAATGCCTTGCTTGTAACAATTTGTCTTCCTCGGTGATAGCAGTTAAAAGCAGCAGAGAGGGACAGCCTGCAGGCTATGACTGAGACACTAATCCTCTTAACTTTAGTGCTGAAAGATGCATAAAAGGTATCAGTGCATGAGAAATAATTCTGTGTGAAAACAGCCAAATAAAAAAGTCATTGGGCATTGTAAGTTTATGCCCACAGGCATGAAAAAGAATGGGAAGCCACTGGATTGGTATTTACCCCCTATTTGGGGTATTGCAGTAAACCTACTGTAGGTGCAGTAGGAGCCTTGGCCTGGAAATCTTAGACTGAAGCTGCTGACTGAAGAAGAAGTCAAGTACTGTAATGCCCACTTGCCTCACTCTGCGGCTGCATTTGATTGATGTTTTTCTACAAGACTGTGGTGGGATGGAGGATTACCAGATTCTCAGAACTGAAAAAAGTGTAAAAGTTGGTGCAACTTTGATACGAGTCAAGCATGGGATATTAAGTGTCTTTTACTTACTCTCTTAAGCATATATATGCTTGAGACCTGTAGTACTTAAAAAAGAAAGTCAGTGTAGAACAAGGTACTCTGCCCCAGCCTGGTCTGTGCCTGAGCTGAGTGCAAGCTGCAGGAGGGATTAGCTAGCAGTTGTGCAGCCTGTCTGCCCCAGGAACCTACGTGGAAAGTTTAGTGCACAGAGTGCTTAAGGGCAGAAGTTCAGGTATCAGAAAGGATCAAGCATGAGCAGGGATGAGCAAACCCTTCTGATCTGTGCATTCACTCTGAGTGGAGAGAATCAGCCTTCTTAAGCATGTTGATACTCTCCTGATTTTGCCTCACCTCTTGAGTTGGTTAATTTGCAGTGTCATAGAAGATTTTTAATTAGACCTTCTTGGAAAACTATGTGAACATCATCTGTATTTTACTGTAATTTGGCATCTTCTAAGGCAAAAAAAATAAAATCCCCTTTATTCAGGAACCCTTTCTTAGCTGGAGATACATCATCCTAAGCATTAACCACAAAGGAGAAAATGAAGAAATGCATCTTAAATTCTTGTGCTACCCTGATTCTCTGAGCTGAGCTCTGTCATTGAAAAGCACCCCCAAGACAATCCCTGAAGAGATCAAATATTCTGGTTTGACTCAGTATGGGTGAAAGCTTATACCCTCTGAATACCAGCATTTCCTTTGTATTTGTTCTTGCCCATGCCATTCTTTCTCTTGAACCCAAGGAGTGAGAACAGCCATGTGCTTTCAGCGTTTTCAATATCTTTTTTCCTATCCTACCCATTCCATAGGACCACCATTTTTATATTAGGGCTGCATTTATTTTCCTGTCATATCTCAAGCATGTGTTTTGGAGTGCATGGTGGAATGGCTGTTGACTACATCAAGTCTGCTCTTCTAGAAATTCAAATTTCACATAAATTCTCCTCTTCCACTCCCGAATGTTTCTTTGTGCAAAAAACCCAGAAATATTGATGTTACTCCTAAATTTGGCCACTGAACAGTTAAATCTGAAGATCACGCTAGAGATATTTTCAAGACAGCACAGATCTGCTGCAGCAAACAGATTTTGGCTAGAGAAAAAGAATGCTTTTTGGAAAAAATCCTAAGTACAAAAATTGCTCAGATTTTGCAAAGAAAGTGAAATAAAAGTTGTCATTTTAAAATTACTGATTCTGAACTTTTAGCATGTTAGGTGAGATCAGTTGGGTTTCACTGGTTTCAGAGCCATATTCAACATCTAATGGATTGGTGCTCCATCAAAATGGAAAGGCAAACCCTAATGCCCTCACGGAGTGTGGATTTTATTCACTGGAGTCAAACTAATCTCACTGAAAATAGATTTAGGCTCTTTCTCATAGTATTATTGAAGCTACTTTACATTTCAGTCAGCTGCTCTGTCTATTACAGAGTGATAACCATCAAAGTCCCTGTTCTTATTCCACCTGTGGTAGCAAGAGCTCCAAAAGCGACAGATCAGTTTGGCTTCACATACTTCTCTGTAAGCACCAACCCACTGCAGGTGTAAATAAACTCTGGGCTCCACATATTTCTAAACCTACTGGGTGAGCATACTAGAGTCTTCTTAAAAACAAGTCCATTATGGCACTTTCCCCAAGTTCAGGCATCTCTTTTCTAAATTTGCCAGAGGGAAATGTGGATGAAAACAAAGATTTTTAGCAACTGTTTCTTGTAGTTTGTTGTTACTTGTTCCTCCTTCTGTCTAATTACAGGGATGCAAGATGCCTCAAAGAAGCTTACAGAGTCTCTCCATGAAGTATATGAGCCAGACTGGTACGGACGTGAAGATGTGAAAATGATTGGAGAGGTAAGATGTATGGAAAGAGAAAAAGTATTTCGGCTGCAAATGGATTTATCTGAACAGTTGAGGAGAAGTCTGCATCTGAAATGTCCCCTAATTCTTTGTTGCGTGTTAAATCCTGTTTTCTCAGGATAGAAATTATTTCTCAGCATAGAAATTATTGATCTTGTGAAATGCAGATCCTGTTGACCAGATGCAGCATTGGCAATGTCTGTTTTACGAACTAGCTGATGTAAGCAGAATCGGTCCTGATAGCGTCTGATTGACAAGTTTGTACAAAGGTGTCTTACATGCAGTTTTGCAGTCGAGATTCTCAATTCAAATGAATGTTAAAAGTTATCAAATCTGCATATCCTTGTGTTCTGTGTAAAAACTGTTGAGTCAGTGGTACTAAACAGGGTATCTGATGGGACACACCTCTCTTTGACAAGAATCTGGAATTTCAGGGCAAATTAGGCTGCAGGGCACTGTTTATTTTCACCTTTTTAGCTTCCTCCGGTGATTAGAGAACAGGCTTTTCTAGAGGACACAGCAGCAATTTAACTTAAGGTGCTCTGAATTGCATGCTTAAACAGTCTTAATTCTGGGGGAAGTCTGTCAGGAAATATGTTGGTGGTTACAAGAAAGTGCAGACTGTTATCAGTGAAGCTCTTAACCACGTGGCAGTCAGTTTGCAAGACCTCCTGGACCATACAATTAACAAGAAACTGTAATATAGAGCCCTCTTTCCAAATCTGTGTACAGATTGCTCTTCTCTGTGGCTGCCACCTTCTACCCTTGCCTTCCTCTATAGGCCTGATGTGGTTTTTGATTTTAAAAGTACCCAACTTCCAAACTGTATAATTTACCATTTATATTTTTTTGGGTTAAGCAGCTGGAAAGTGTCATGCTGCATCTTGTTGTAGACATCATCTTGTATCTGTGGACTATCAGATTTTGCATTCAGAAATTTGTAGTTGTGTGAAAGGACCAAAATTTGGCTCTTAGGTGTAAAGATAAATGATAGATATGTCTTCTCAATAAGAGACTTACAGGCAATATACCAGTTCCCCTGATTTTTTTTCCTCACAGATGTAGATTTCTGCATCCCTCAACCTAATTATAACCAGAATTATATATCTGTTCAGTCTAGGATTTCAATGATCATTGCGAAAGGGATCCACCTAAATGACCTTATTCTGTGTGGTAGGAAAGATGATGGCTTAAGGGACCCTTCAGCAATGTTGTTTGCATCCATCAGTTTTCAGAAAACCTCCATGATTTTAATTTGTCCAAAATATGTATGGGCAACACACAAAGGCAAATGCTATGGCTGGCAGTTGCTTGCTATGATCTAGTACTGTGCTTCTCTGTAGAACACTGTGATTAAATATTGTGTTAATAAATGAGGTATTTCTTCTAAGCATGTTTAATAGATTGTAATAATTCATTAGGGGCTCTGTTAGAGTAGGAAATGAATGAACTGATGGCTGGAATCATACAGCATTTATAATATGCCCTATAATAGCTTATGGTAAAACAAACACTGGGGAATAGCTGTCTGGACTTATCAGTGAGGATAACAGCCCTGCAGAGCAGTGCTCATACCCTTCAGCCTGCCTTCCATCAAAGGAGTGATTTTACAATGTGGGAGAAAGGAGGAATCAGGATGTTTAACACATGCTAATGACTTGTTCAATTGAGAACCCAGGACCTCCAGCACTATGTCTCTATGTAACAGGATTTGCTTCTGGTAAGGAATTTCACCCTTCTCCCTACTGGGTCCTTGTCACAATGAGCTGCATTAACATGTTTTCAAAAACCAGAGAGCTACACTTTGGAGCTACCCCAGAGCTCTGGGGTCTGGGGAAAAGCACTGGAACTTCTGGGGGAGGATTTTGTTTATTTTGCCTGCTGATTTTGGGATGTTTCTATCTGCCATCCCAGCTCTCTAGTAGCGGAAGGTAGAGTTCTTGTCTGTGCATCAGCCATTTCATCAAATGTACCTTAATGGCACAAAAAGTATAGGATGGAAAGACCTTTCCCTTTATTTTATTTACTCTTTTGTTATACTTCCTTTCTCTGTAAGTAAAGTCCATCAGCAGTGAACATACTTAAGTGCAAAAACTAGGGCAGGCTCAGATTCTGCATTGCTGATCCTCAGGGACCTGGAACTCCAAGGAATACCTTGAACCTGTGATATCCTTATTTTCACATAGCTTGATTTGTAATAATGAAAACACAAACTAGTTATTAAACTAAATCTTATTTTGTTGTGAATTAAGCTTGCAATGTCAAGGTATTTCTGTAAGGTATTCCTTTTCATTCACCTTATAACTGTGCTCTGGTTTATTGCCATAAAGAGCATTTTAAAACTTCAGAAAGATTAGTCTTTGCCAATTAGATTTGTATTTCTCTGAGTTTTAGAGTGGCATTAAACTACTAAGCACATTTTTCTCTTTTCTACCTTTTCAGAAATGTGATGAACTTTGGGAAGACTTCCATCAAAAACTGGTGGATGGGTCGTTGTTGACCTTGGACACATATCTAGGCCAATTTCCTGATATCAAAGTAGAGTAATGATTTTCTATAAAGAACAATTTGTAAAAGTACTGTTGAGTTGCAAAATAAATACAAAAAGAGATTACAAGCAAAGAAAAATAAAAAGGGGGGGAGTTGAAAGTCATTCTCTTCTGAAATCTACAAGATGTTTTGTAAGTAAGTCCCTGACATTAGGCTGTACTGATTTTACAAGTGAATAAAAATATTTTTAATGAAGTAGTTCTTGGAAGTAAATTAGCCTTTCTAGAGGAAAATTTTTTTCCTGTTTCTGTGTCTTTGCTATGAGATAATTTCCACTGACTTCAGCAGGGACACATTAAGCTCTTCAGACTAAAATGCCAAATTACATGGAAAACAGGCTTTTTGTTATTGGCTAGATGCACTTGTATCTTTCTCTTATCTAAGATATGGTTCCTGTCTTTTAATTAGTTATAAAAAGATTTTGTAATATGCATTAGGAGATAATGATCTGCAGATTCTAGCCTCTCCCAGATGCCTGTTTGGTGTTACGGTCCAGAGAGATGACTGCTAAGTGAAATGTGTATGTGACCATTATAGGTGAGAGGCAGATACTTTTATATTTCAATATGACTGTATGGACACAGATGGAAATTTTTTGTGATAGTTTATAATTGAGTAGGTATCACACCATCATCCCCTTTGTCATTTACCTCAGAGACTAAAGAAAAGTTAATTAAAAAATCTGAATATTACTGACGTACAGTTTTAAACTTGCTTGTAAATCAAGCTGCACTTATGCCCTCTTGGAATGTGGAATTTACATGTAATATATAGCTTTGTAAAGTCTATATCAAAGGATATGTATATGATGAACTCCAGTTATCTTAGTTAAGTGTCAGAACAACTATATTTTAAACATTTTTCCAACTCCGGAAAAAAATGCATTAATTACAAAACATGTATACTACATATAAAGGAGAAAAACTGTGTCACTGTGAGTTTAACAGGTTCACTTATTCTGGAGAATGAGACAAGTGTCGCATAACGTTGAGATCTCAATTAAAAGGCCTGTAAGCCCTACATCCACCAAAACCCCTTCCAAACTATCTGTAAATTGTTCCCTTATTTTAAAAGGTAATTTGTCTCTTTTACCATTTCCATGTTCCTGCATAGTATAATAATTCAGATATGAACAGCAGATAAGAGAGAATAAAAATGTCAAAACCTTTATTGACAACATAAATAAAGTAGCTTTTTTAAAGGTGTTATTCATCCTTACTTTCATTTCTACCCCTGTACAGACTCGCATTGCAAAACGAAGCCGAAAGCTGGTGGACTACGACAGTGCGAGGCATCATCTAGAAGCTCTGCAGAGCTCAAAAAGGAAAGATGAAGGCAGAATTACCAAGGTAGCACAATCAGAAATATGCTGGCAGAAGACTTAGGGAGCTTGAATGGCATTTGTTTCTGTGCTGAGATAGAGCACAAAGTTTCTCTTCCTTTTGTTTTCGTAAAAATGGAAATAATGATATCCGTAAGCATAAATGTGTATTGAGTACTTTGGTGCATGTGTGGGCACGCTCAGCCTCTTTCACAGATGAGTCCTGTTTGAACCCTAAAGTGCTCTCCTGATGAGAATGAGGGGACACCGAGTCTGTGTTGACCTCCATGGTGTGGGACCGAGTCACCTCCTTTGTTAATAAATAGTGTAGTGTAAAAGACCCACCACAAAAAAATGCACAAATGCAATTTTGGCTGGTTTAGCTATTTCAGTGTGATTGCAGAAGTCACCCTGTTTCATTTTGGTTTAGGCAGAAGAAGAATTTCAAAAAGCACAGAAAGTGTTTGAAGAGTTTAACACTGACTTACAAGAAGAGTTGCCATCTCTGTGGTCACAGTAAGCCTGGAGTATGGAAAGGGAAACCAGGGGATTATAATGAGCTCATAGAAAATGGATTGCTGGATACTTGAAGATCCCATCCATTATCTTTATGAAATAATAAAAGGAAAAATGTATGCAAATGCTCCAAAATATGCTTACTATGAGTGTACTTATGCTCACTTCTACCAGTGTATCTTGGCACTTGAGATTCATTACCATGTCTTCATTCTGAGGTGCAAAAGGGTCTCTGTTTTATGGGTAAATAACTATACTAGAGCACAGAATAGTCTGTGGTGATTTGGGTCTGCTTATGGGTCATTTTTCTGGAAAAGATATCAAAGCAAAGAACCTTGCAAACGTATTAAGACTTTATTGCTGTTTTCAAGCTTCTGTAAGGTTCTACTGAAGCAGTAGAAGGGAAAACTAGTATTATAACTACATCAGAATACACATATGATAGTTTTGCACTGATTATGTCTGTGATATAAAGGGATTTGATGGCATAGATCATTCATTTGGTATATTTAATCATGAATTGTGTTTATACAGAAAATGCATAGAATATGAACGTGAGAACAAAAGCAGAGAAAAATAAGCATCTCATTAGTGTGCTATGTTCTCTAACAACTGACAATCTGGAGTGGAAATGTGTTGTGAGTCACTGAAGTATCCTTTGTCTTCTTTGCCTTCTAAATTAAATCCTGTTAAATTTCAGATCAATAGAGGATTTTCCTGCTGTGTTTCTGCCTATTTCAATTGAAAAGCTTCTTAGCACTTCAAGATATTCATTTTGTGGGCTTACTAAAAGTAAAACTGTATATGAAAGATTTAGAGTAAGGACCCTTTCATTTCAATATGTGTGTTGCCAACTAACTAGTCTTAGGAAAAGGTAGAATTTAATTTGAGCAATAGGCATAATTTAGAAAGCAGTTGGTTTCAGTCTCCTTTATTGTAGTTATTGCAATTCTTCAGGAAGGAAATAATGTATTGAGTTGACATTTTGCAGGCTTATTCTTATTCCAAAGACGATTTTTGTTAGTAAAAGTTGGAAGAAATTACACATGAAAGTTTTAAGTAGGAAAAAGAATAATACAGAACCTACAAAAACACCTTCTACTTTTGAAATGTAGGAAAGATATGTAATCACTCACCCCAAGCAAGCAGATTTTTGACTGCATGTGCAAAAATGTCCAGTCTATATTAAATTATTTTTCTTTTGCATATATATACACGTGTGTTTCAGGGCTGATTTCTTTAAGGAGGGCTGAGTATGGGACACCTCCCCCTGGGCTGTACTGAGCTGTATTCCTTAAAGCTGCCCCCAGACACAACTGCATCCCCTTGGTGCTGCAATGCCATCTAGGGTGCAGGCACTCAAAGTGCCAGAGTGGTACCTCTCTCCTTACAGGAAATGATTGTGTGGTGGCTGGTGGGAGAGGGGGTGCCCAGGGCGCCTTACTTTAACGCCAGAGCACCTTAATTTCCATCTGCTTGTGCCCCACTCTTGGCCATCCTTTTTCAATCTTCCCTTCTCTAAAAGGGAAGCTGAAGCCCCTGCTGGGGAATGGTCTCAACTTGATACATTATGTAGTGTGAATATGATGTTTCTTAACACAAACAGAAATAATGATGAACAAACTAGTCTGAAATTTTGACATTTCATCCAGTTTTGCTTTGCTGAGAGTAATACTCAAGAATGTTACTTGTAGTCTGGAAAACAATTAATTTGCCTTTGTGGCCCTCCCACCCATGTCTTTTATTCTCTTTTTCCTTTCTTTGTGCCATCCTTCATAGACGAGTTGGCTTCTATGTGAACCCCTTCAAAAATGTATCCAGTCTCGAAGCCAAGTTTCACAAGGAAATATCTTTAGTGAGTAAAAATTAGTATCTTGTGTAACGAATTATGATATGCATGACAGCAAACAAATGTCTTGTAGTAAAAATCTAGGAGAGACATACAGAAGAATTTGCCACAGATCTAGATTTCTACAATAACCATTGTATTTCTTTTACTTGTCATATTTTTGCTCTCCTTAAGGAAAGAGCAGCCCCTACAATTTTGGATTACAGTGCAGTATCAGTTGTAGCACGAAATTAACTTTCTGTTTTGATGATTTACTGTTGCCTACAGTATTTTTACTGTGTCAAATTGCTAAGCACCACATTGCTTTAATCAGTACAAGAACATGTCAAGCAAACCCTTCAAGTCTGCTCTACATATTGTCAGCAATGCAACACTGTATCTGTGACTGTTAGGCAAATCAATCAGTGAGGATCTTTTGAATGTACCTGGCTAAGTGGTAGTGTGTTATCTATAGTAACCTACTAACTGGAATCAAAATTGTTTGGAAAAATCATGTTACTGAAGTCCTGTGTAAATTTGGATTAGGTTTTTGAGGGGAAAACATGAATCCTCTTGGCTACACATGTTGCTTTAAACTTTTGGCAGCCTCCTTCATCAGAGCTCATGTAGCAATCAGTCATGCTTCTGAACTTACTCTCTGAAAAACAGGTTGTGTTTCTGAAGAACTGCTATTATCATTGATTCTATGGATTTTGATGGGTTTCTGCTTAGGCTGTTGCTATACATGGCACTGAGTATTTTTGGAAGGTTTTATAGTGTAGTGTAAAGTTATCAGATTTTATCTTATCAGGTTATCAGTTATCAGACCAGAGTTATCACCTGTGTTTTTAATCATGACTGTAGTCATTCACATAAACTCAGGCAAGTGTTTTGTTTTCACAGCTATGTCACAAACTATATGAAGTGATGACCAAGCTGGGGGATCAGCATGCAGACAAAGCCTTCACCATTCAAGGGGCACCAAGGTGAATTTACTGGGTTTTTGAATGAATTGCATTCCAGTAGGCTTTGTGGGATTCAGCATATATAGTAATCACCTACACCATGTGTAGCAATTGCTGTACAACATGGTAACAGGCATTGCTTGTTCAGGATGATAGATGAAGGTACCTTGTATGAAGTTATCCTCAGCAGGAGTAAAGGTGCAAAGCTTCCTTCCTCACCAACATTTTTTTTCCCTTAAAAAAAATAATGAAGGCCAGATTCTCAGCTGTTGCAGTTTAGCCTGTTTCATTGTAGACTGTTATACCAATTTTCACTAACTAAATGTATAGCTCACTTATTCTTGGCTGCTTAGTTTACAGCAATGTTCCTAACTCTCATAATTTTTTTAAGCCTTGATATATTTAGATGTGCTTTTAGCTCTTGTTATTAGGTGAGAATCCCAACCTTTGAAAGTCAGCCTTTATCGCTTCTGCACGTGGGGAAAAGTCAAGATCTGAGGGTGCACCATAAAATCAGAAAAGCTGAAGTAAAAAGAATGTCAAGAAATACCATATTTTTAAAGACTTTCGAGAGAAATCTTGTCTTAAAGCACAAACCAAAAAGAGTTTAAAATGAGATGGTGCTTTCTTAAGGTCAGAGGATGCCTGGACAGTATTTCTGATTTTTTTGCTTGCAACAAATGTAGCCTTTCTGCCATAGTTTGATCTCTCAGTACTCTAATAGCGATATGCAGAAAAGATTGAAATTGTAAAACAGTGAGACTTATCAAGACACAGTGATATTTAGAGTTAATACATAAAGCCTGAATTTCCATGCAATCCCAGCAAATCAGAAGCAATTAGAACAATGTTATAGCTACAGATAATTTGCCCTCAAGGTGGCCTTAGATTAGCAACAATTAAGACTGACCAAACAACACAACATCTGCATCAAACATATGGCAGATATTTCTGCATTTGTTTTAATCTCATGTTGGAAGAACAAAGAGTGAAGTATTGAACCTACTGACCTAATGCAAAATTCAGAACTACTTTATAAGAACATGACCAAAATTCATGTTTTACATTATTTCAATGATAATCCGTTCCCGTATATAGTTAGACACTGCCTCTGGAGCTGTTAGCTCATGCATCACCACTTCTAGCCCCTTTAGGGTGGACTCACAAACTGGGCTGTGTTTCCATAAGGGATTTGTAAAATACTTTCATAGGGTGAAAAATGTAGTGTTGGAAGATTTCAAGCAGTTTTTTTGTAAAAAAATGATATTTTGTCCACCTATGTCTCCTAGACCATGTCCAACATGCACATGCTTGTTCCCACTGAATTACTCCTTCCATCAACGAGAGAAAGAAAATACTTGCTGAAAATGACGAGACATACGTTAATGCAGTGTGATCTTAACTTACTTTAATGCTTTTTAAGAATACATTATTTTTTTCAGTTCCCATGTTATTCTCTGTTGCTGTACTATTCACAGAGCCTTGTGTGAAACTCTGGATTGATTTTGACTTCCATTATTAGTGATGATGCTTTAAAAGACTACTCAGGAGTGAGCCTTTGTAAGATGAAACAGCTTTCTTTTTAGATACAGTATCTAATCTTTCCTTTGAAGAACTGTCTAAAAAGAAACATTTTGAAAACATGTATGCAACTGAGTACTCTATCCTGGAGGCAAATATTATACCTGGGAAAGAAATTTTTTAATGACTACTTTTTTTTCCTTTTTAAATATTTCCACAGAAAGAGGTGGTGAGTGTTTGTCTTTTCCAATGAACAATTTTTCTTGTGTTAGCATTAGGATTATGTGTATACTGTGGTCTTCTCAGTCAGGTAGTGCTTCTGCTCTCCCTGAAGATGTGTAGGAGTTGCTCTTAGCGAGTACTGTGGTCATGGAGTGCTGTAGTTTATAGCCTCTCCAAGTAAAAGCTTTCAGCATTTTTAGGTAGCTGAATATTATCTCAGTGTTTGCACCAGGTCCTTTCATGAGAAGAGCAGATGATTTCTAGGACTTCATCAGATCTTTTCTTAGTATCAGCAGAGGTCTGTTGAAGTCTCTGACTGCTGATTTTTTATAGTTCTAGTGAACTGTCCTTCTAAATAGTGATATCTTTATAATAATCTTGGCTGTGTTTTATTTTATTGAAACCTTTCTGAAGTTGCTGAGCTTTTAAAATTATTTGCATTGCTCATTGTTATGCCTTCCCGTGGGTAATTTATCTTTAGAACTTTTTATTCTGAGAACCGTGTGAAATGAAGGCTATAAGGCATCTCACATTTTATGATAGTTATAAACTTATATGTGAAATGGTGTTTCAAATACAGAATCTGAAGAAATGCAGGTACTCTGTTTCCTTCAAGTTACAGTGATCAGGAAAACACGTTCCAAAAATCAAGATCACTGAAAATCAAAACTTCCTTTGATACAGTAGATACTGAATTTTAATTGCAGTATTAGTTTTAGTCATTGTATAATGGCTTAGTTCATCTCTAGTGTGAATTGCCTTTTGTGGTCACTGGCATTACATCAGGGATACAGTTCAAGTGTTGCAACAAATTGTCAAGGTAATAAGTCAGCAAGATATATATGTCCTTGCTATTGCTTTACTTCTGTCTAGTGATTCAGGTCCACTCCGCTTTGCAAAAACACCATCACCACCAGAGGAGGCCTCTCCCCTGCCGAGCCCTACTGCTAGTCCCAATCATATGCTGGCTCCAGCATCTCCAGCACCAGCCCGACCTAAGTCACCCACACAGGTAAGCAGATACCTAGCAGGAGAACCTGCCTGTTGTGCAGTGAAAGATAGCTGAGATGATGTATATGGTAGATTTTTCATCTAGGCTGTGATTGAGTCATTACTCATAGGGAGGCCACTGGTTCTGTTGCAGTCTGTCCTGTTCATTAGTTGTACATCCCTGTGTAGTGAGCATGGATAGAAAGGGAGAGCAAAGAAAATTTTAAGGTGCCTGGTGAATTGGGCAGGATTTGTGGTGACAGAGCAAAACACTTCTTAAAAAGTTGCATTAAAACGTTTTCCAGCAGTGATAGTTTGAAAAGCTTATTTCTAAAACCTCCTTGTGAATTTCTGTACATTATATATTTATGCTTTTCATCTTCAAATTTATGCTTACCCTGGGAAAAATTTAGCCAGTGATTAAAATCATCACTGGTCTGGCAAACCTCTAAATCAGTAAATGAGAAAGCTGGCTTACATACTGCTGTGCTAATTACTAATAATTAAAGTCTTATTGGTTGTTATTAACACTGGATTGAGAAGTTTGACACTGTTGGAATCACTGGGGTAGTTTCTATTCTCACCAGTATTGGTAAAATAAGAATCACTTTCATTCATCAGTTTCCTCTGTAGCATACCAGTTGTATGTGATACTTCATGAGCATATCGAAGACCAGTGTTGATGTTACTGATGGCTTTGGAATTGGAATATCTTCTGTGCTGATTGCTATTTCTATGCTGGGTGAACATCAGAAATTACTAATAAGTCTTATTGGTTGTTATTAACACTGGATTGAGAAGTTTGACACTGTTGGAATCACTGGGGTAGTTTCTATTCTCACCAGTATTGGTAAAATAAGAATCACTTTCATTCATCAGTTTCCTCTGTAGCATACCAGTTGTATGTGATACTTCATGAGCATAACACTGGATTGAGAAGTTTGACACTGTTGGAATCACTGGGGTAGTTTCTATTCTCACCAGTATTGGTAAAATAAGAATCACTTTCATTCATCAGTTTCCTCTGTAGCATACCAGTTGTATGTGATACTTCATGAGCATATCGAAGACCAGTGTTGATGTTACTGATGGCTTTGGAATTGGAATATCTTCTGTGCTGATTGCTATTTCTATGCTGGGTGAACATCAGAAGAAATTCAATTTTGCATTTAGTAAGCATACTTATTTTGTCTGGCCTCTCAAAATGTGGTACCTCACTGCCTTCATCTGGCAGGACTCAGTCTCATTGGTGCCAATGGTGTTATGGCACTATACCACCTGAGGTTTTTTTGTGAATTAATTTTCTTGATATTTTGCCAGATTTAAAAATTATCCAGTACTAGTTGGTATTATTTCAAGCAACTAGTTTGTCATAGTTATGTGAATCTCTGGAGAACAGCAGAAAATAATAAACTAAGCACCTTTGAGGTGCTATGGTTCCCACAGATGATGTGGTCTTAGCATGAAGTATGCTTTAAAGGTAGTAACAGGTGGGCATGGACAAAATCCCAAAGCTAAACGCAAATGAACTCAAGATGCCAAAAAGCTACAGAGGCTGGTTCTGTGCAGCATTGCCCTTCTTATTATGGGCTGCATAGGAAAGCAAGTGCCTGTCACAGCAGAAAAAAACAGCCAAGAATTGCTTTTGTATGAAATCTGAAACCTTGAGTTTGAATGAGTTTGAAACATGAGGTTGTTTTGCTCTTCCCACAATGTTTATTCCGATTTAGTGCTGAACAACTAAACAGTTCCTTTCAAAGTATGGTTCATTCACAAATGCTTATTTAGGGTGAAGAGCAGTGATAAAAACCTAACATAAATTGTTTAGGCCTAGCATGAAGCTTTTCCTTTATCCCTGAACTAGTCTGTGACATTTTTGCTGTCTGCCTAGCTGAGGAAAGGTCCGCCAGTCCCACCACTGCCTAAGCTCACACCCACGAAGGAGTTGCAACAGGAGAACATCATTAACTTATTTGATGACAACTTTGTCCCAGAAATCAACGTGACAACCCCATCACAGGTAAGCTTCAGCAGATGGCATACCACCCCAACCTTGTAATCACCCTAAGATAGTGCCCTTGGGGCTGATCTCCATGGGGAGAGAGGAGGAGGGTGCCAGTCAAAGGCAGAGACACAGTTAGCATTTTCTGTTATCTTGAAAGGGTTACATGTATGGTGTTTTACCTTTGAACAGTTCACACATAATCAGTCAAATGGGCTAACACTTCTAACATATTGAAAAAAATGAGAGATTTCCGGTGAGACCTGACTAAAATACTGCAAAACAGTCATGTTTGAGATTTAAATGCCTTAAATTGCATTTCAAGCTGAGAGTTGGTCTAAGATGCATTTTTCTAATCCTAAGCATCTCAAGTGGAACTTTACAGTGGTCCTTCATTGTTTTGGTTTCCTCCATCAAAATCATTAAAAGAAGTTCCTATTTTCTTTTGAGTAATTTTTTAAAAATGGAACTTGGCTGGTTTTTAAAGGTATAAAAGGCTTCTTCAGCTAGATTATTCATTCACTTGGTTTTGCTCATAGAGACATTAACTACACAGCAGAGAAGTGACCAAAATTAGTTTTATCTCATTATTATCACATTTTTTGAAATTGCATATAACAAACAGAAAAGCCAAGTTGTCTAAAATGCATCTGTAAAATTTGTATTCTGCTATTCAGCTTTTACATAGTTATGGTAATTGCTGGTTGTTCAATATTGGACCTTTTCTATGATGGTAATTCCAACTCTGAAATCTGAGCCTTTATCTGATAGACTGGGGAGGAAATCGTAGTTCTGAAGCTTACACAGAAAGCTTATGAGTTTTTGTTTTCATGTGGATCATTGGATTTGTACTAATTCATTTGACAACACAGGAGAATGTAGGCACAGCAGTGAAAAACTTTATACAATTTGAACATGTGATGATTTTTTTTCCCCGTGGAGGGGAGAAACAGGCTGTCTACAGGGATCTATTTGGAAGAGAAAAGACTTATTTATAGTTAAGTTCCCATGCAATTAAAGGCAAGTCCCAGAATGCAGCTGCTGTTGGGCCCTCATTCTGAAGGGAGATGGCAGGTCTGTTGCATCTTGGTACCCTGACTTCATAGGAGTTAATAAATCACTCTGGTAGCACAAACCTTGACATCAGTTGTAAGAATTGGTGTGAACTGTGCTAGATGTGGCCCTCTACATTAAATACTGTATTCAACTAACCTTCATGTATCAGGCCAGCTGGGAAAGTTGACATGGAACCTGTGTGCTTTTCCATTAAAAGATGACACTAGAACAGGGCTTTAATGAGTATGAGTCACATTTCCAAAATCTTTACATCCTTTCTATGAGAGATTGGTATAAAATGGAGTGACAAAATAAAAGCTGGGTGTACTTCTGAGAAGTGAAATCTTTTTCATTTCTGTCAGGGAAAAATTGATCCCCCTTCAGTGAGTGATTTATATCCCTCCCTCCTGCACAGTCAGTGATCTGAAAATGACCTAAGCTATTCACTGGCCACCTCCTCATGATTCATCTGCACTTCTCCCTCCACAGAACCCACCCACATCACTAAGGCATCCTTGCTGTATCTGAGCTCTCTGAGTATGTACAAACATACCCAAATAATGTGATATATATGTAGGTTTTGTATCCTTCTGTAAGAGAACCAGTTCTTGAAATCCACAGAAAACATGGACTTATTCCTCTTGGTGCTTATGACTTCTCCTATACTCCCAAAGGCCTTGTTGGCCAGTATGGAGGAAGCTGTCAAGAGTGCAGAGTCCACTAATGGTGCAGGACCTCCTGAGGGACCACGACTAGTGTCCTGGACACTGCTCACACAGAGGCACAAAACCAACAGGCTGATGAATAGAGCTTTGCTGCTTTAATCCCATGTTTTAGAGAGGATTACAAACAGGCCAGACACTTTTCTTCTTTGGAACACACATCCTGTAGTTATTATTCTTTACCAAGCTGTATTAATGCATTTGCTGTTCTACTTGGTGCTGTTGAATATTTTTGGCCTGATTCAACAAAGCAGCTCACACATCCAGGTTATTTATTGCCAAGAATAGATTTAATTACAGCTAAGTAAAAGAAAGAGGTGAGAAGATGAGATAACTTAGGTGACCAGATGAAAGGATCATTTAGAAATGAGTATTCCATGCTTTATTTCTCGTTGTCTTCACATCACATTTCGCCCTAGTGTCCAGTTACTAGCTTGGCTGTTGTAGACCTTTATAATATGCCCACCCCCACCACCCCAGACCCGTAACATGTCTGAGTGTGTCCAACAGCTCTGAAGTGAATAGCCCATATCTGCTAAGGCCATTTTAAGGGTTGTACAGATTGGGTGCAGAGAGGGGTTAACAATTCTGGTGACTCTTGCACGTTTCTTCTGTCTTCTCCATTCCTTGTACATACCTCTGAGAGGTACAGCCCTGCTTCTGCCACAACCACCTCTTTCAAATGTGTCATTTATTCCTGCTTCATCATTCTATGGTGGAATTAATACAGGATGTTTGACAGGCCTTCCTGTCACAGCTTTGTCTGTTTTTGAGCGATTTCCTGAGGTTCCTCTTTCTCTTACATCTCCATGTAGTGTGAGATTTGGGCCTTTGTCCCTAAAGTACAAACAAGTGTTGTCTTCATTATTTTGGTCTGAGGGTCATGGGTAATTTTTGCAGTCAATGATCAGTTGTACCCTGTCACTACAGTTACCTTAGCTGTCATCACACATGGCCTAAGTAAAACTACCATTCATCTGGTTTAATCCCCATTAAGTAGCAATTTCATTCTCAAACCTCACTGAAAGATAATTGGCTCTTCTGTCTCCATCCATTTCTGATTCTATGCCAGCAAATGCTGTGTTGTTTCATCAGGGTGTATGATCACATGAGTACTAGTGCCTCAAGGGCATTTGTGGTGAAATCTAAATACACTGGATGGAAGACATGACAGAATGAATGTAATGCTGGTTACTGGTGGGAATGGTGGGGTTGACTTTTGAAAGTGTGAGTCTCTAACACCACTGGCCAAACACAGAGGCCAAGGGAAGAATATAAAACAAGGCAAGCAAAGTTGGTACTCCTGACAAGCCCTTCTGCTATAGCCTCCCAGCCTCCAGCCGTTTGCAGCTCAGGGGCTTCCTCCACATGATTTCTACTGATTAGGTAAGCCTTTGGCACAAATGTATTCAGTCTTTCAGCATGTGCACATTTTTCACATTCACACCACCTGAAGGTGAGGAGGTCCATAGCTGAACTCTGTGCCACATGGAGCACCACCAGCTTTTCTTTATGTCACATCTGCCCCCGTCAACTTTGCTGCCACTTGTCTTCCTGCTTGGGAAGAATCAGGGAGCAGCCAAACCCCTGTGCCTCTCACGCTGAAATAGACCCTACTCACGTAACCACTAGCACACCTCTTCCAGACTGAAGAGTTCCAGGTCACTGTCATTCCTAACACGGGAACTGGGGAGCTATTTTGACCATATTTTCAGGTGACACAGAGCTCAGGTGTTTTGTGGCATAATGAAAGCCATTAATTACCTAAATTTGAACATGCATTTACCAATAGTAACACTAATTTGGGAAGTTTATACTCTGAAGTGTTTGAACAATATAAAGGCTTTGTTTGTTTATTGTATTATCATCCTCACCTCAATATTTTGCTGAACCTGCCCTCTTGTTGTAGATTTGCCATGGTGTACGAGAGTCTCGCACTACTTAATAAACACTGAGCAACTAGCAGTAGGCAGTACTAGCTTTGTTACCTAAACCAAGATGCTTGCCTAGAATATTTATAATTAGTGATTCAATCCCAGCTACAGTTTCATGCTAATTAATATTTTATGTTGAAGCGTGCTAATTCTTTGTTCAGGGTACTTTATAGCAGGAAAGACCTGTAGCCCATTGAACCTATATATATTTATAGTGACCTCAGAGGCCTTGTCTAATTTATTGATTACAAATAAAAAAAGACTCTACCATATAATCCAGTTTTGTAAGAGCACATCATAGAATGGTTTAGGCTGGAAGTTCCAACCCCCCTGCCATGAGCAGGAGATACTTTTCACTAGTTCAGGCTGCTCAGGGCCTCATCCAACCTGGCCTTGAGTGCTTCCAAGGATGGGGCATCCACAGCTTCCATGGGCAACCTATTCCAGTGCCTCACTACCAGATGTTTCCTAAAGTTTAGAGCTCAAGGCAATATTAAATGTAAATTGGTATTCATGTTCAGAATAGAAACTTAATTCAAATGCATTTATGTGCTTCTATGTTGGCTTTTTAATAATGTTTGCATTTGTGGAGATATTTCCTTTTTAGAATGTATGGACATTGGGTACCATTGATGTAGTTTTCAATTTTGATGTCTGTCTCAAAGCACTTTAAAAGGGCCTTCACAATCAAATGGTGTAGACTTGGCACTTTTTCAAATGGACTGTGGTTATTTAGCCTGGAAAGGCAAAGCTGCACTACAGAGAAAACAAAGGTATCACAAAAGAGTGAATCTCATAAAAATAAAATTAAAGCTTATACTAAAGCTCACGAAAATCTTCAGAGCTTCCTCCCCTCTTGGTGTGCATCACAGGTAGTAAGTCTATGGTATATTTTTTATTTCTTGCACCTCTTAATATTTTACTGGCTGGGGCAGCTTTCAGAAGGTAAGTTTTTCAAGAGTTATGTTTCTTTTCTAACAGAATGAAGTACCTGAAGCTAAGAAAGAAGAATCTTTGCTAGATTTTGACTTTGACCCTTTCAAGCCAGAAGCTGTATCAACGGGAGTTACTCATTCACCCATGTCTCAGGTATCTCTTTGCCTTGAGGTAGGCAAAGCATATGAATGCAACATGCTGTGTTTGGTAGCAAACATTTAGTATTAATGGGCAGTATATCTGCAGTGTCTGAAAAACTTTTATCTTCCTGAGGAGCTCAAGTCAGCTGTCTATGTTTCCGCCTCAGTAACCCTGTACTTAATGATATGCTGGAAGGAGAGGAAGTTGTCAGGTGGTGAAATGAGATGATGCCAATGAGAGTGGTTGGTGGTACCTTGGCCCTGACTTTGGCATGCTGCTATTTTCCATCTTTAGAATAAGTCTTAGTGTAAACTTGTTTTTCTGACAACTTGTCTGACCTGGCTTTGATTCTTCTTGTCTGGAAAGATGCCTCAGGGGACCAAGGTCTCATGGAGACAGCATGTGATTGCTTTGCTGTGATGGAGTTTCTGTACCAAGCAGTGGTATGATCTGAGTGGTGTTGCTATAAACCTATTTTAGACATAACCTCAAGGAAAATGAGAGCATGGAATAGGGTGTTTCCTTGCAGAATGTTGTGTTATAGAAATTTTGTGTTCAGTACTAATATTTGCCATGGCAGTTTCTTGCAGCAATGTGAAAAAAAAAAGAAAAAGATGAAAAGTAAAAGTAAAAAAATGGCTGATATTAGTTGGCTACTCTATGGGACCTGCTATTTCAAAATCTAGAATTCACCCTCACTATCCAGGGGGCAGGTAATAAAGTAGGGAAGATCTCCTGGCCAGCATATTGGTATCCCTGTCTTGTACACAGAAAACCAAACAATATTAACACGCTGTTAGCAAGACCTATTATCCCTGTGGTTGTTACTAACCTGGTTTGTTCTGTGAGACATGGGAGGACTAATCGGCTGTTTGGGAGTGCAGTACTGAGATAAGAGTGAGAAGACAAGAAGCTTTAAGGCTGAAATACTCCTGGTTCTCTGCTGATCTCATTGTCGGTTGTTTACTTTCTTATTTGGCGTACAGTCCTAGCTATGTAATGAGATCTGTAGTGATCTCTGATGGGATATGCACTGTCAAAAAAACGAAGCATTGTGAACATTCCAGATGTTATCTGAAATTTCTCATTGTGATCTGCAAGGAGAAGTGTTTCATTCTAACAGAAGCTTTGTGCATTTTACTTGTTATTTTTCTTACTCCCTCTAAACAGGGAAGAGGAAGGGGAAGGGCCAGTAGAATGAAATTCCTTGGCATTCAGCAGTGACAGAAAAGTTTAGGTGTGACTTGACTAACTCTATGCTTTTAGCTCATTTTGTAATAGCGCTGATTAGAGCAGTGGGATCATTAAATCAAATATATTTAACTTGACAGAACATGTTTGTTCTGAAATCGTATTGCACAGATTGTAGAGGAGTTTATTAGTTCAGCGAAAATGAGTTGGTTTAGATTCAACTGTACCATGAAATACAGAATATAATTCTGTGTAGAAAGGTACATTGTAATTTTTCATCTAGGTGCACAGGAAGCATCACTGAGCACCTCCAATCTCCTTTCCTTTCACCTTTCCTCACAATGTATGTATATGAGAAAGGATGGTCCATGTCCACAAGAGCACGTGGATGAGTCAGAGTACTGTGTTTTTAGAAGGGAAGACAGTCCTGCAGTCTGGGTCTCAGTCTTACTGGGTTTGGCAGAGTCATTGCTATGGCAGCATAGACAGAATGAAGCCTGTGGTTGCAGTCTTTGGAGAGCACTGTGCTTACAGGGAAATTCAGAAGAGAACCTTACATGCTATTTCTATATGTGTATAGTTTTTGCCTCAGTCATGGATATTTTCCCTTCAGCAAAGTGCTGAAGTAGTGACATGAAGACAGGAGTAGTCATCTGTGCATGATGCCTTGGGAGGCCTCGCATGACTTCTCTGCTGATAATTTATTTAATTACCTCCCTACATTGGTCTTCCAGGGTGATCTGATGACAGTAAGTGAGTCCCAGCCTGCCCTTCCTTAATTGCTTATTTGTTTCTATGGCTGCTTCAGAAGTAACCTTTCTAAACCTACTTAGCCCTCTCCTCTGTTTGCTAGCTGTGCTCTGTCTGACCTTTCCTTCAGTTTATTCCTCCACCTTCATGCTCAAAGTTGAAAGGAAAATTGAAAAATGGAAAAACAGCAATCTTTCCTTTCATGGAAGTTGGCAGGACATTTAGGGTTTGCACCAGTTAGTGCTGTAAGAACAGACCTCTCATTTTTCCTCTTAAAGCTTGAATGTTCAGCTAATAGTGTTACAAAGTGAAGTAAGCATGTACACGTATGAATTACATCCACAGAAGCAGCACTTCAACCAAATTAAACTGAATGCAAATTGGTTGTTGATGTTAATTTGTGGTAAATCTGAGTAGTGAGTTATTACTGTGTCTTTTGCTCATTGAAGCAGAAATTGTTCAGAGAACCATTAGGTCTTTATAGAATGTGAAGCACACAAGAAAAGGAGCTAAATGCAGCAATCCTTTCTCTCACTCAAATATTAGCTGTTGCATTTAACATCTGCAAATGTTTCAGTTTTACATTTTACTTTATGATCATCTTTAGTTTTTTGGGTTTTGTGAACATTAACCTAGCTGTGAATATAGTAGATACAATTTGAAGTATCTCAGACTACTTTTGTTCTGTTCAGCTCTTCCGTTGAGAGGTCACTAACATTTATTAACAGACTAGACAAGAACAAAAAATATTGGTGAACTTTCTTGTTTTATTTCCCCAAAAGTATGCCATTTTCCTTCCTGGAGTTGTGAGAAAAATGGCGTAATCTTCAGTGGATAGCTGAGTAAATTTTTAACCAGCTAGAAAACCTGGCCGATGTAAGATCTTTAAAGCTGACACCTTGCAGAGGCTGCTACACTTGTTGAAAGTCATTCTGCCACCATCTCAGAATCTGACTGCTACTTGTGCACACAGTGATGTGAGTTGGCTGGAAAGCATACTGCCCATCCTATTTAACCAAGAAGAGCGTAATGCAGATACACACACACACACACGCACTCGTGCTAATATATAAAATATGTATGTATTATAAATATGCATAAAAATAATTTCTCTTAATTAATGCACACTGTTATGTAGTATGATGGTCATACAGTATATGAGCAGTATTTTCCTAACAGCCCCTTTTTTTCACTCCTTTTTTTCAGACATTGCCATGGGATCTATGGACGGTAAGCCTGACATATATCATTATATTTCTGTGCCTCTGATTTTGTAACAACGTAGATACAGCTCTACAATGCTTTTACCTAAAGCCAAGATAAAGAATTTACAGACTGTGACAAACACTTTCAAGTATATGAAGCCACTGTGGGGACCTTTTAAAACTAACAACAAAAAAAACTAATCTGTGTTGCTTGGCCTACAAAACCTAAACGATGTCAGAAATCTAGGCTAATAAGATTCACGATTATTATAGCTAAGTGTGTTGCTTTTCATATGCCTGAATTATAGCTAGTAGAGGGCAGGAATGGGTGCTAGTCTCTTGTTTCAGTTATCTGAAGGTGTAGTTCCTCAGGACTTTACCCCATGGACAAGCCTTTTTTCAAAATTCATGAGTGAAGAGAGAGTTTAGCTTTTCTTTGTGGCCATACAGCAAACTGGAGTTACTCACAAAAGAAACTGCTACTTTAGGAAACCGTGTGAATCCTTCCTTCTTTCTCCTGGTGCCAAATCAGGTACAATAATCTGCAGGAAGAAAACAACTCGTTTATTTTTAGCTTTCTTTCAACTTTATGTCATGTAGATAGCTAGGTTGAGTTGACATGAAGCCTGGTATCAACCTTTTGTAGCTTCACCCAGCACAGAAATCTGTGAATGTGTGTCATGTATTCAGATTTGCAGCACTGTATTGGGAACACATGCAGTATGTGATGTGTATTAAATGCTCATCTCCTTCTATTGAGAAAGGTTAAATAAAGCCTAAAAAAAGTCACATATGTAGGCTGGCCAAAATTTCAAGGCTGCTAACATCTAGACCAGCTAAAATAACCCAGAAATGTATTGCTCTAAACATTAGATATTTATCTAATATAAATTAGGTATTTTTATCACTGCCTTTTATAGCTTTTTAAGACTATGTATGTATTCTGCATTATGATTATTTTTGTGTTTGCTCTAACTTTACAAAAAAAAGTAGAGTAACTAGGTGAACTTCACAGCTAAGTGTTTGAAGTTAGGGATGCTAAATCTTTAACTGAGCTTCCCTTAATAAGTTGAGCAGAGAGTAGCAGTGTAGACAACAGGTTTGTGACTTGATGCCTTACTCTGTGTGGGTGTAAATGCCTCTGCATGGCACAGGGTGGTGGAGAATTGGAGCTGCATGCTCAGGGCCCACTGCACTGCCTGAATGATGCAGTGATGCCTGAGAACAAATACAAGTAAGCCCCACTGCTGCTTGCATTGATTTCTTCCTTGGTCACTGTCCCCCAGAGCAAGACCTCTTTTCAACAGAGATGTAATAGGGTTCCTGCAATAAAATTGTCAGTGGCTCACAGAGGAAATCAAAGTGTGATAAATATTCAACATACATGTAGAAGATTTTTAAAAAATGTAATGCAGAGGTTTAAAATTTAAGGGCCTGGGATTAGGCTTCTGTGGAGTGGCAGGAAAGGACCTGCCCCTCCTTCTCCACACTGATTTGATAACTGCTGCTGGTTAGAGAACTGCTAATTAATGACCTGCTGCTGTAACAAAGTGCATCATGTTCTTCTTTTCTGTGTTTTATATGTATGTTTTTTTCTACACAGACAAGCAGCGAATTGGTGCAGCCGGTAAGCAAACCTCCCACCAAAATTACAGCCACTCTAGAGATGAGCTTTAATCAGTGTGGCGTAACATATAGTTTGCTGGTTTTGTCTATCAGTGCTGCTCTTTTACATTACAATCTATTACCTCCAAATGTTGCAAACCACATAGCTTTTCCTTAAATGGCTTAATGTAGTCACTTCATTCTTTAAATTAAAATTGCTCTAGTAAAATAGAAATTTTGTGTTTTCTCATCAACTCCGCCTTTATCTTTTTCATCTTGTGTTTTTTCTTTGCTTTTCTGTCTGCTTAAAGCCTGATTCTTCAAAAAGTCTTTCCCTGTGTAACCTGGTCATGGAGGAAACCCCAAACAGTGGGTCATCAGAAGATATTAACAGATCTCAAACTGATCTAGGTTCACTCAACTGGGGCCTAGATGTTAGCACACCCAGTGTCAGCCAGGAAATTACTGCAGGTGGTTCTTTGATTTTCTCTGGGGCAGAGCAAACCTCAAGCGAATCCACAGGTATTCTGCCTGCTAGTGTTTGGCCTGCAGTAGGTGAGCAGGAGGATGCTGCACCAGGGTCAGCTTCTGTAAACGAAAACCAGAGGACTTCACTGAAGGACCAGTTGGATGCCAAAAATATCCTGTGGGAAGATGTGGTGACCAATCAGCCTTTAGAGAACATAACCGGTTTTGAAACACCCATCCTGGGAACTGATAGCTTGTTGGATGAACCCCTCCCATGTGATGTGCAAAAGGCAGAGGAAGAGCAGGAGGAAGACGAGTGGGCAGGTGTCAAGCCAAGTGAAAAGGTAGAGACCGGAGCTAAGTACAAGGAGGTAGAAGGTACAGAGGAACTGGAAGAGCAAGGTTGTGCAACAAAAGGAAACAGTGAGGCAGAACTTCATGAGGGTTTAACAAAATCAGATCTTGACATTTTAGTCAGCGCAGAGGTAGAAAATATACATGAGTTTGAAGATAATGATGGGGATACCTGGAAAGGTAATGGTGCTGACTTAGAAAATCCTAGAGAAGAAGAGTTCAAACAGGTCAATGTCATTGAGGAAACAGATGGAGAAATACCATTGTTGACCACAGGGCTGGAAAGTGGGGACAAAACAGTAGTGTACAACTGTAAAACTGTAGAAAGCACTGGCACTGAACATGAGAGAGTCCTTGGTATCTGGGGTCGGGACCATGAAAGGACATTTGAGGATGCCTTAGACCAAACTGACAGTGGTACTGGAGAGAGTGCACCCATGGAGTGTATAAATGTGAGAGCATGTGTTGACCTAGAGGTAACTGACCACACAGGAAAAGACCCTACAGATACTGGAAGCAGTCTGTGTGATGCTGAATTATTCAGTGCAGAAGAGTCTGGTAAAGGAACAGAAGACAATAGCATCAGCCTCCTCCCAAATAGTAGTGCTGGTGCTGAAGGCCAAGCTACTGCTGAAACACAGTGGGCATTGCTGCCTGAGACAGCCGATGCTGCTGGCACAAGCTGCAGTAATCCTTGCCTAGGTAATGCAGAAGACCAAGTGACAGGTAGGGCAGCAGCAGCAGTCACTGAAGAGCATCCTAGTAGTAGTAGTGGTGTTCCTGAAGCCTTGGAAACAGACCCCTGGCTGGCAAACTGGGATCCAACAGTTACTAATGATTCCTGGGGTTTTCCTAATCTGTCAGATAGCCAAGCTAATGGACTGGATAACTGGCCCTTTTTCCCCAAGCAGCAAGACTCAGAGGAAGGTAATATGGAAAATGTTTGGTTAGGCATTAGTAATAAATGGTCTACACAAGACTTAGGCGCTACTGATAACAAATGGGGAGAAGTAGGTGCAAACACAAGCAATATAATTCAGGAGACACCAGTAAAACAAGGCATACCTGGGGAGCAGGCAGGCATTAGCAATCCTGGACTGAGCAAGGAGATAGCTAGACCCTTGGTTCTATTTCAAATGGGAAATTCCAGAAATGCTAGCACCGAGAGTTCAACTAGTCCTAAAGACAATGAGACCAACAACTCAGATTTATCTGAAGATGAAATTGCTAACCGGAGATATGGATTGTTGTACCAGGAAATTGAGGCTGATAAAGAAGAGGTACCTACCCCAGTGTGTAGCCTAGTCTAGACAAAGAGTTCCTTAGGCCATGCATAACCTTGTCGTTTAAAAACATTCCATTTGTGTGTTTCCCACTGCCCTTCCTAAGCTTGTGCTATTCTTTTTTTTTTTTGAAAAATTGCCATTCAACTGTTGTTAGTGTGGTGCCCTTCAGCCATGGAATGGAGCAGGCTGACAAAAATGCATTTCAAAATGGTGAATGAAGCTTTGAACTGTGAAGGCACATTGTGTCTTGCAGCTTTTGTGTTTTATCTGTATATCATTAAATGCACCTAGTCTATTTTTATTCCTTTTGTTAAAATACTTCACTTAAGTTACTCTGCTTTTTTTTTTTT